GGCTAAATAAACATTACTTAGATCCCTAGGTCTGGGCTTGTCTAAGTATTCTCTATATTTTAAAAGGAGATAAAAAAGAACACGTTTTCTCCATTGGAGATTTTTTTTAAAGCCCTGGAAAAGCAAAGATCTGATTTCTTGATGTTGTTGGTAACAATCTTATAGATTAAAATATGTTTAAAGGCTCTCCAATTTTTTATATATATGAACTGCCCCCACTTTTAATAATATATGTTCTTAAGATCTTTTTTCCTTATTTTTAACTGAAAAAAAGCCCCAACTGCTCCCTTTGGACATGGGAAATAATGACTTGTCATAAGAGAACATCCTAGTCTTACGCATATTTATTTTATTGTGGTTGAAAACTTTTCACCCATATCATATTTTCACAACTATAAGCATAAGTTTAAAAAAAATCTAAACTCAAAATCTAATTAACCAGAAAAATCTTCATTCCTAAAGCATATCAATTAACTAAGATAACATAGTTAAAAATCCATTTTGTCCAGAAATGGCAATTAGACTTTATGATGTGTTGCTCACTGTCACAATTAACTATTTTCCTGAAGCACTTTGAAAATAATTTTGAAACTTGTGATTAGGGTTAGTAGAAAAGAGGTACAGTTGATCAGTGACATATACCAAGATTGGGAGAAAAGGCAAAGTAAAATAAATCATGTTGCACATTCCTGAACTATACTTATAATTGGCTCCTCAGGGAACTGTTTCACCAAAAATATTATTTTGAGTATTTCTTTTAATAATGCTTTTTAAATGTTTTAAGGATTGTGAAATATTTTAATCTTACTGAAAATGTATGCAAATAATATATAGCTAACCCCTGTATAGTGGCCACCCAGATCTATTAGATCTTTATATTTTGCTTTGTTTGACTCAGACTGTAGGGATTTGTTTGTTGTTTTTTGTGTTTTGTTCTGTTTGTTTTTTTTAGAAATAAAGCATTTAAGGTGAAGTTGAAGCCTCTCCTTAATCCTTTTTCATTAGAATTTCATATACAGGTTTTTATTATCCCCCTGTGGGCTCCTGATTCTCTTTCTACTGTACTGAATTGAGAAAGAGCTAGAAGAATAAATGTTTTGACATCTAGGAGAGGTCAATGGGGGGAAAAGGAGACTATGTAATACTTTAAACAATAATGAACTTAAATTATTAAAAAAGAATAAAAAAAAAGAATATCATAATTCTAGCCTCTTGAAAATCCCAGGGAATCTTTTGTGAGAGGAAACAAAAAAGTCAAGGACACATCTTTCTGTTTTTAAAACCACTTTTTCAATTGACTTTTTGAAAAACGAGAATCGGCATGTGCACAAGTGATGGATTTATCAATGAGCGCCGATACCATTGCCAGGAAGTTCTCAGGGCGTTTTCACCACAGCAGTGGTCCAGCAAGCCCTGGTTTTCTGTAACAAGTGAAAAGAATGTGCAGGACGCAGAGGGCTGACTGTGCAGAATGCTGAGCGCTTGGTAAACTGAATCCAACCTCAAGGAGGAAAACGGTGACCTTGCCTACAGCAGAAACACCACCAAGGTGGAAAGGTTCTCCCCTTTCATGTCCATGTAACTTGTTATTAGTTACCTTTATATTATGAGACAAAGAGAATGTTAATAAAGAAATAAGACTGAACAATAGTTTTTAACATAAAAAATGTTTTGACATCTAAAGTTTATTTTTTTTAATTTCTTTTGAAAAATTGAATACAACTTGGTATATGCAGATGTAATGAACATTTTTTCCATTTAGTGCTTAAAATAACTTTTTTTGAGCATTTAAATGTGTGATCTGAGAGAGTTTTTAAAATACAACCATATTTTGCTTAGTTCAGAGAAGTTTTCAGCAGTTTAGCCAGTGTTTAGAAGTTTTATGTGTTTATATTGTTGGAATAGACTTTTTTTCTATCTTTTCTCAAAGAAAAGACTTTTCCAGGCAGTAAAAATAATCTAAAATGCTTAAACAAGCTCCCATATCTGATATTTTCAAGTAATTTTTATGATAATCACAGTTGTAAACAAAACACCAAATAGAAATCTGATTAAAGGAGGTTTAGATTTAAGAAAGTAGTTAACTGCAAGTTGGCTTATTACAGTAATTAGGATGAGAAGTTGGTAAAGAAATCAGTATGGTATTCTGTTGGCAAAGGTGAGCATTTTTGTTTTGTTTTTTTCTTTTATACTATCCTAAACCTATTCCCTTTGCTGGACATACAATCTACTCTAAGAGGTGATAGAAGCATCTATTAAATGCTTTATTTTTTATTCAGAAAGCATTTATGATATATATATGTGATCAAAGATTCTGGGAGAAATTCCAAAGGACAGGATATCTGCCTTTAAGAATTTAAAAACAATTGCAAATTACATAACAAATTCACATTGATAAGAAAGCAAACTTGGGGGGTGGGGGAGGACAAGGAAATACAGATAAGGATGGTTGCAGAAGGGAAATAGTTGCAGCTGGTAATCATTTAGTTATCAAAGTTCAGCTCTGCTAAAAATCACCAGGAAGCAGAGCCCACTCTCAGATTCAGAAGTAATAAAGACATATATCATGTGGTGTTAAAATCGTGGCGTGGGAGGTGTTAGCCTGTTCTTAGGTTTGAGAGGCTGAGCACACTGTGAGTAATAATAATAAAAATAACTTGAACTTCTCACCCATAACAAGCATAATTTTTTCAGTCCAACTCTGAAGAAATACTTGTAGATATTCAGCAAAGTAATGTATCTTTCCTTCTTCGGTTTGCATTATATAAAGTATTGAGGTATTATGTACTCTTCTCCTTAGCAGTGTAGTCATTATTAGAGGTCCTAAGGTTGTATCAACCTCTGGTTGATGACCACATTTTCAGTCTGTGTCTAGTCCAGGGGTGGGCAACCCCTGGCACGTGTGCCAAACATGGCACACCAGTAACTTTTGCTGGCACTCGAAACCCTCTCTATAATCTTCCATTTACAATTTTTGTGAACATTTGAATGACTTAAATGTTAAATTACAAGGAACTGGCAAGACACTTGATGTTATGTTTGATTATATAAAGGCTTTTGAAAAGAAACTGGAAGTCTTTAAAAGGGATGTGAATGGTGAGAGATTTAGATATTTCCCAAACTTCAAGAGGCACATCAAAGACCTCCCAAAAGATGACAGAACAGACTGTCAAAGCCTTCAAAGCTTTTTTAAACATCATCAAGACAACTATTGAGCAGTTCTTCTCAAGATTTGCGAAATTCAGAGAACTGGAAGAGACAGCAAAATTCATGAGGTTTCCAGACAGCATGAAACTGGAGGAACTAAACTTACAAATGTTTTCATGGATAGACATGGCTGATTTTGAAATGCAGTTGATTGAATTTCATAGTAGCTCAATTTAGAAGCAGAAATTTATTGACCTTAGAGTTGACTTGGAAAACATTGAAAAAAAGCGATTAGAGACAGGAGTACCAGAGAGAAGTGTCGAAAACGAACTATTGAGGACTTGGAATGCCATTCCAGAAAATTTTTTCTGTTTAAAAAACTTTGCAACAGCGTTACTCTCCATGTTTTCATCCACATACGCTTGTGAATCTTTGTTCTCAGTGATGACCTTTGTTAAGTCTCGTAATAGGAGTAGCCTGAAGGATGAAAGTAGTAGCTCATGCATATCTCTGAAGGTCACGAAATATAAACCTGATGTAAAATCTCTGTCATCAGTGATGCAGCAGCAAAAGTCCCACTGATGATATCCAACGGAGTCATAAAGTTTTCTGTTGGACTATCAGTGTACATGTATACATTAAAAAATAAATGTATTTTTCATCATCATATACTGTGTTTTTGTCGCTCGAATGAATTTTATTTCTTCAAGATTCTTCACATATGTACACCTTAAGAGATATCAAGTAGGTGTAACATGTTCTCAAAAAATTAGGGTTGGCACGCAGAAGAATTTTGAGTCAGATTTTGCTGGTTTTGGCACGCACTCACAAAAAGGTTACCCACCCCTGGTCTAGTCTGTTTTCATATTACCAGACAAGTTGGCAAGTGATAGACACTTCCTATGCTTTGTACTCGGTTTCTTATTTTCTCCTTCTCTTTAGGTTCTTTTGTAACTAGTTTGCACCCACTACAACATTTATTAAACCTATCTGTATGTAGGCGGGAATACTGGGGCTTTTTGGTGTCTTTTTTTTTAAAGCATAAGTAATAATTTCATTTGTTTAGTTAAGTGAAATATTGTACCACTTGTAAAAGGTGTACAATAAAGATTGATTTGATTCTAGAGTTGTCTTTTTGATATTTTTAGTTTTAGACTATTGTAGATCTTATAAACAGCCATTGGTTTATGAAATAAAAGATGTTTTAGGACCTAGCCTGTTAAACAGAAACTGTTTCCTAGCATTGTCTTTAAAATATTATTGTATTATAATTGAATTTAATTGCTTAGACCCAAGGCTGATTGTAGGCCCAATTGTAAAGTGAGGGACATTGGTCATCTTTTCCCTCCCAGCTCTTCTCACAGCCTTGTATAGCAGAGCTCTGAGTCTCTCTCCCCATCCTGACTTATGAGGGTATTTGACTCCTCTCCTTCTGGAATGTTCTGAGACTATATTTTTTGTAAGTCATTAAATCATCAGTAGGTTAATCAAATGGTGTGATAGACATGGTTGTTGTCTACCCTGATAATCTCTTTCTTCTTTTCAGCTGTTAGGTAAACTTCCATGACAAAATTATTTTCTTTGCATTTTTCTACTTCAACCTTCCTGGCCTTGTTGAAATGTGTCAACTTATGTACATAAATATTTTAATTATGAAAATAGTTACTCTCATTTAAGGGAAAAAAAAGTTTTTTCTTACAATGTTTTGGTCTAGATTTTTATACACAAAAACAATGATATATAATAAGACTAGAACTCTAAAGTAGCTATTTTTATCACATTACATTAATCACTTTTCTGTGGTTATTCAGAAAAGACATCTCTGACTTAATTTTTCTCTTGTGTTTCAACAGAAGGAGACTATATTAAAATGTTTATGCGAGGTCGGCCAATTACAATGTTTATTCCTTCTGATGTTGACAACTATGATGACATCAGAGCAGAACTGCCCCCTGAGAAGCTCAGACTGGAGTGGGTGTATCCTTTTTTCTACCATGACAGCAAATTCGCTGGCTTCATTTAAGAAAATTAGTTTACCTAACCTCCATCAAAATGATTTTTACATCAGAAAGTAAATGTAATAAGCACACCAGCCTCTGATCCTTTCATATATTTTATATATTTTGCTATGAGCAATTTAAAATCACCAAAATTAATGTCTTTGATAGGGCAAGCGATATTTTAAGATCATTACAGTAGGTACTTGTGATGTGATAGCAAAGGCATTGGACTGAAATTGGAAGACTAGTGTCTGAGTCTTGGCTCTGCCACTTACCCCCAGGAAAACTTACTTTCTTCACTTGAAATAGAGGTTAATAACTCCTACCTCACGGGTCTGTTGTGAGAATTAAATAAGAAAACGTCAGTTAAGTATTTTGTAACCTAGGAAATATGAATTAAGAGTTCAAATTAACAAGGTTCTTTTAATTCCAGTATTAACTTGTGTTCTTAGCCAGACTTTAAAAAAAAAAAAAAATGACTATATGAAACAGTGCTCTCCTAATTTCACTTAGAAATTCTCCCTTTTCTTAGAACATCTAAGAAATTCACAGTGAAGGGGAAGGGAGCTAATAGCTTGAACTCTGCTTTCTGTCTCTGTTCTCCTACATCCCCTTTCCCCACCCCTTGAACCATTCCCTCCTTTTGGCAGAAATTAGCTTGGAAATCTCTCCAATCCTGTAATTCTGTACAACTGTTTAACATATACCCTGCCTACCAAACTGTGCCTGGCACTCTCTGCTTTATCATTTAGGTCAAGCATAAATGTCACTTTCTCAGATAGCCCTTCTTTTGATCTCTCTTTTTCTCTCCATTTAGGTCCTTTTATTCTTCTACCATGCTGTTATTTTCCCCCCACAATTTCTAATGATATAATTGGTGTTTGTTTTTGTCATTTTTGCCAGAGCCTAAGCTCCAGAGACATAGGCCTCACATTGGTTTGTATGTTTAGCTCTGTGCCTGACACATCAGGAACTCAATCTATATTTATTTGTCTATTAAATGGGGGAAATTAAGATTCAAGTACACTGGCAAACATGAGTTTTCAAATTCCAGGCCAGTCCTCTTACATTATACCTTTCTGATATCTTTAAGTATCCTTGAAAAAATTGTTAATTTAACACCTTGAATATTGTGCTTGTTTAAAACCTTGACTCTTTCTTTTAAGATATGGTTATAGAGGAAAGGACTGTCGAGCTAATGTTTACCTTCTTCCTACCGGGGAAATAGTTTATTTCATAGCATCAGTAGTAGTACTATTTAATTATGAGGAAAGAACTCAACGGCACTACCTGGGTCATACAGACTGTGTAAAATGGTTGGTATCATTTAACATTGTTCATTCTTTAATTTCATGCTCTCATTTTTATTTTGGGGGGTTTTAAAAATCTTGGTTTTATTGGAAATGATTTATTGTGGACACCTCAGAATTTAATGATATTACGGGCATTGCCTTTTAGAGAGTGGAAAGAAGGGAGAGAAGGGGCGAGAGAGAGAAACATCAATGTGAGAGAGAAATATTGATTGGTTGCCTCCTGAACGAGCCCTGACTGGGCCAGGGATCAAACTGCAACCCCCAGGTTCATGCCCTTCCTCTCTAAAAATCAATAAAAAAATATATTTTAAAAAGCAGTCCCATTGTTAGTTTTTTGAGGAAACTCCATACTGTTTTCCACAGTGGCTGCACCAGTCTGCATTCCCACCAACAGTGCACTAGGGTTCCCTTTTTCCACAATTCTTCCAGCTCCTGTCATTTGCTGATTTCTTGATAGTAGCCATTCTGACAGGTGTTAGGTGATACCTCATTGTAGCTTTAATTTGCATTTCTCTGATGGTTAGTGACCTTGAGCATTTTTTCAGATGTCTATTGGCCATCTATATGTACTCTTTGGAGAAGTGCCTGTTCAGGTCCTTTGCCCATTTTTAATTGTATTGTCTGTCTTCTTGGTGTTGATCTGTATTGGTTCTTTTATATATATTGAAATTAACCCCTTATGAGATGAATCATTGGTGAATATCTTCTCCCATATTGTGGGTTCCCTTTTTGTTTTGTTGAGGGTTTATTTTCCTGTGCAGAAGCTTTTTAGTTTGATGTAGTCCCATTTATTTATTTATTCCTATATTTCCCTCAGAAACATATCAGCAAAAATAATGCTCTGAGAGATGTCTGAAATGTTATTGCCTGTGTTTTCTTCAGGAATTTTATGGTTTCTCAACTTACATCTTTTATCCATTTTTATTTTTTCTTGTGTATGGTATAAATTGATGGTCTAGTTGCACTTTTTTTGCATGTTAACTGTCCAGTTTTCTCAACATCATTTATTGAAGAGACTGTTTGTACTCCACTGAATGCTCTTGCCTCCTTTGTCAAATATTAATTAACCATAAAGGCGTGGGTTGATTTGTGGGCTCTCTGTTCTGTTTAGTTTATCTGTATGCCTGTTCTTGTGCCAGTACCGGGCTATTTAGGTTACAGTGGCTTTGTAGTATAGTTTGATATCTGGTATTGTGACCCTCCAACTTTGTTCTTGCTACTCAAGATTGCTGAGGCTATTTGGGGCTTTTATGGTTCCAAATAAATTTTTGGAATATTTGTTCTAGATCTGTGAAATATGTCATTGGTATATTAATAGGAATTATGTTGAATCTATATAGATTGCTTTGAGTAATATGAACATTTTAATGATGTTAATTTTTCCGATCCATGAACATAGCATATGCTTCTACTTGTTGCATTTTCCTCTATTTCTTTCTTTAGTGTCCTTTAGTTTTCCGAGTACAGACAGGTCTTTTACCTCATTGGTTAAGTTTATTCCTAGGTACTTTCTTTTTTGTTGTTGCAATTGTAAATTGGATTGTTTTTTAGTTTCTGAGAGTTTGTTATTGGTGTATAAAAATGCCACCGATTTCTGAATATTAATTTTGTATCCTGCTACTTTGCCAACTTCATTTATTAGATGTAGTAGTTTTTTGGTGGGTTATTTAGGGTTTTCTATGTATAATATGTCATCTGTGAATAATGACAATTTTAGTACCTCCTTTCTAATTTGGACGCCTTTTATTTCTTCTTCTTCTTTTTTTTTTAATATATTTTTTATTGATTAAGATATTACATATGTGTCCTTGTCCCCACGTTACCCTCTACCCCCCCTCCCTCATGCCCTCACCCCCCCCCCCCCCCCCCGTTGTCCGTGTCCATTGGTTAGGCCTATATGCTTGCATGTAAGTCCTTTGGTTGATCTTTCCCCCTTACCCCCACCCTCCCCTACCTTCCCTCCAAGGCCCGACAGTCCAATCAATGCCTCTCCGTCTCTGTATCAGTCCTTGTTCATCAGTTTATGTTGTTCATTATATTCCACAAATGAGTGAGATCATGTGGTATTTATCCGCTCTCCAGTTCCATCCATGCTGTGGCAAATGGTAAGAGTTCCTTTTTCTTCTTCCTCTTCTTAAAGAATACCTTTCAGCATTTCATATAATGCTGGTTTGGTGGTGATGAACTCCTTTAGCTTTTTCTTATCCGTGAAGCTCTTTATCTGACCTTCTATTCTGAATGATAGCTTTGCTGGATAAAGTAATCTTGGTTGCAGGTTCTTGCTATTCATCACTTTGAATATTTCTTGCCACTCTCTTCTGGCCTGCATGGTTTCTGTTGAGAAATCAGCTGACAGTCGTATGGGTACTCCCTTGTAGGTAACTGACTGTCTTTCTCTTGCTGCTTTTAAGATTCTCTCTTTGTCTTTTGCTCTTGGCATTTTAATTATGATGTGTCTTGGTGTGGTCCTCCTTGGATTCCTTTGTTTGGGGTTCTCTGCGCTTCCTGGACTTGTAAGTCTATTTCTTTCACCAGGTGGGAGAAGTTTTCTGTCATTATTTCTTCAAATAGGTTTTCAATATCTTGCCCTCTCTCTTCTTCTGGTACCCCTATAATTCTGATGTTGGTACGCTTGAAGTTGTCCCAGAGGCTCCTTACACTATCTTCATATTTTTGGAATCTCTTTTCTTTTTTCTTTTTCGGTTGGGTATTTTTTGTTTCTTTGTATTTCAAATCTTTGACTTGATTCTTGGGATCCTCTTGTCTGCTGCTGGATCTCTGTAAATTATTCTTTATTTCAGTCAGTGTATGCTTAATTTCTAGTTGGTCCTTTTTCATGTCCTCCAGGGTCTCACTATACTTATTAAGGGACTCACTAAATTTATTGGCGGTTTCCATAAAATTCTTGAAAAACCTTATAAACGTGGCCTTGAACTCTATATCCAGTCGTTTGCTTTCCTCCATTTCTGCCATTTGTGACGTGTTTCTTTGTCTCCGCATTTTGACTGCTTCCCTGTGTTTATAGAGTGGCTTTGTGTGCTAGGTGTCCTGTAGGGCCCAGTGTCTCAGCCTCCCCAGTTACCTGAGGTGGACACTCTTGTTGCACCCCCTTGTGGGCTTTGTGCACAGTCTTGTTGTAGTTATGCCTTGGTTGTTGTAGGATCACTGGGAGGGATTGACCTCCAGGCCAATTGGCAGTGAGAATCAGCTGTGTCTACAGTGGGAGAACTTCTGTGCTGGAGACACCCTTCTGGGGCAAGACTTGCTTCAGTGGGGTTTTGGTGCTCACTGAGTCTGCACCCTGAGTGTGTCCCTTATGGATCTGAGGAGTTGTGATCTGGATGGTCCCCCTCTGACCACTGGGTACAGTGGCTCTTGGATCTAAGGAGGTGCTAATTTAGCCTCTGCCTGAGGTTACCCAGCAGGAGCTACGAAGAGAACTGCAGATTCCCCTTCCTTTTTTGGAGTTTGGAGGTGCCCTGATGAGGCTCAGCTGTGAAGCAATGCAAGCCACTGTGGGGCCTTGGGCCTTCTCTTGGAAGTTCTGGGTCTGTCTGGCCCGGCTGCAGTTAAGTAATTATCAGGTTGCAAAGGGCCGGGGCATTCATATGCAAAAGCCTCTGCCGCAGCCTGGGTGGGGCGGGGTCTCAAGGAATCAAAGGGCGGAGCAAGCAGCTATGGCGGATCCTTAGCCCTGCCCTAAGGAGTCGCGTGTGTCAGTGTCCCGGTAACGGCTGCAAGCACCTCTGAGGGAAAGCTGCCCTCAAGCTCGCCCGCTGCCAGACAGTCCAGTTTCTCCCCGTATGAGTCCTGGGTCCCCAGAGACTTCCCGGAACCGGAGTTCAGAGCCGTCGGGAGCTTGTGACTCCCTCCGGATTCAAAAAGACAGCCGCGTCCTCAGGTGCCAGCCCCTTTCCGTGCGCGCGAGCCCCCGTACCTCTGCACTTTACTTCCGCAGCTCCTCTGGCTCTCAGTGTGCTTTTCTTTCCTTCTAGTTGTAGAATTTACACTCAGCCAGCCTTCCTGTAGTTCTGGATGATGTCCGTTTTGTGTTCCTAGAAGATTTTTCAATTGTTGTGGGAGGCAGCAATTTCCCGGTGTTTATCTATGCCGCCATCTTAGTTTCTCCTTATTTCTTCTTCTTATCTGAGTGCTGTGGCTAGGACTTCCAGCACTATGTTGAATAAGAGTAGTGAAAGTGGACATCCTTGTCTTGTTTCTGATATTGAAAGAAATGCTTTTAGTTTTTGCCCATTGAGCATTATATTGGCTGTAGAGTTTTTATACATGGCTTTTATTATGTTGAGGTGTGATCCCTTGTATTCCCACCTACTGAGAGTTTTTATCATAAAGGGGTCCTGGATTTTATCAAATGCTTTTTTTGTATCTGTTGATATGATCAGTGATTCTTATGTTTCATTTTGTTTATGTGATGTATCACATGTATTGATTTGTATGGGTTATTTTGGTTCTCCTTTTGTAATTGGGTCTTGATTGTTATTGTCCCATTTGTGTGTGGGATCTCCCCTCAGGCTGGCTGACTATGAGGCTAAATCCCACTTATATCGTGCGAGCTGTTGAACAGGTACTAGGTTGCGGGTTTGCTCTTCACTCAGGGCTCGTACAGGAGGCAACCAATTGATATTTCTCTCTCACATCAATGTTTCTCTCTCTCTCTCTCTCTCCCTTCCTCCCTCTCAGTCTCAAGGTGGTTTCTGCCCTTCCTTGTTTAAAAGCCTCCTCTACAACTGTTCTTTAGTTGGTAATTCAGGGTGAATGTTCCCCAGTTTAGCTTTATTTCCAGTTTGGTGCAAGAAAGATCCACCTACTCTGCCACCATCTTGAAACCCTTTAATGCTCATGTTTTAATACTAGATTAAAATTACAATGCCTATGCATCTTCACTGTAATAAAACCATGTGAAATATGTATATGTACATAGGTGCAGAACTAGAAAGGAATTTGGACATATGAAACCAGTTTAGGTGAAGAAATTAAGCAAAAACAAAACTCATAGTCACAGGCAACACAACAGCATGGTGATTACTAGAGGGGAAAGAAGGGTGGGTAGGTAGAAGGAAAAAAGAAAACTTTAATTTATTAAGGCACAATTGTGAATAAATATTTTCTTTAGATTTAGTGTTTTGTTAATTTGTCAAGTTTAATAAAGAAGTACAACTGAAAACTTAGAAATCTTTTTATACTTGATGTTTATTTGATTTGTTAAAGAAAGAAATAGGTCACTGGGAGATTTTTTAATGATTAAAAAACTGTTTGAAAAATTTTGATACTAAGGCATATTTCTGCTGTTTCTTACGATTCCTGTATTTAAAATTGCTGTTAATACTGCTTTTTAGCCTTGCTGTACATCCTGACAAAATTAGGATTGCAACTGGACAGATAGCTGGAGTGGATAAAGATGGAAGGGTGAGTGTCATGGTTTTATGCCTTCTGTGCCTAGTGCCATTACTATTAGAATGGAATTGATGATAACTTTTATATCTCAATTTATTCTTCTAAAATTTAACTATGATTTCTAGTATAAGCAAGGAAAAATATTAGAATGTAAAAACATTCTAAAAACCAAAAGAGAATTATACTACTTAAATATTTTTTTCTAAAAACCAAGTGTTCTCACCCAGCTGGTGTTGCTCAGTGGTTGAGCATTGACTTATGTGTGAACCAGGAGGTCATGGTTCGATTCCTGGTCAGGACATATGCCTGGATTATGGGCTCGATTCCCAGTGTGGGATGTTCAGGAGGCAGCCAATCAATGATTTTCTAATCATTGAAGTTCTCTCTCTCTCTCTCTTCCTCTCCTAAATCAATAAAAACACACATTTTTTTTTTTTTTAAAAAAAACACAAACAAGTGTGCTCAAGGAAACTACTTATTTTTAAAAATGGGAATACTGATAAGATTGTTAACTTATATATATTTTTATTGATTTCAGAGGGAAGAGAGAGAAACATAAATGATGAGAGAGAATCATTAATTGGCTGCCTCCTGCACACCCCCTACCTAGGATGTGATATTTATCCACATCCTAGGCATGTGCCCTGACCAGGAATCAAACCAGGACCTCCTGTGTTCATAGGTTAAGGCTCAACCACTGACCATGGTGGCTGGGCGTTATATATATATATATTTTAGCATAGAATAAGTTATCAGTGTTTGCTGTAGGTACTGCAATTTCCCTAAATTGATTTTATATATGAGTAGCACTGATAACACTTTAAAATTTTTAGTTGCTATTTAGTATTACTAAATAGGCTTAAATAACAAATCCCTTATTTGTAAGGATCAACAGTGAATATTAATGATGATTAATTAGAAATATATGACTGTACTCATGGCATTCTCTGGCTTGTTTCTTTCATGAAAAGGACTTGGAGGGATTATATTTGAAGACTTATAAGACCCCTTCCAGTTCCAGATTCTGTTTTAAGAACTGTTTGCTTAGCAGTTTATTGAGCACTGATTTTAAAAAGTATTCTTTTCCCAGGAATAAAGGTAATGCTAAAAGCAGGGTATCCAGAGCAAATTTTCCTGGGTCTGAATCCTAACTCCACCTTTTAATAGTTGTGTAACTTTGGACAAGTTATTTAAATCTTCATATCTCAGTTTCCTCATTTATGAAATGGTGATTGTAATAGTAAATAGCTCATAGAATTATGAAGATTAAACTGATTAATACATGTGATATACTTAGAATAGTATATGGCACTTGAGAAATATTCAAATCATTTGCTGCTACAACTATTATCACTGTTGTTATATCCTTATTTTTATGGTATGAGAAGAAAATACCTGCTCAAGATTCTTTGAGAACATGTCTAAATGTAGTAGCTATTTTATATTAGATATTTATCCATCTCTATTACTTTTTAAAGACAGTAAACAGTTTTGTGTTGTAGTGGTATTCATTGGCATCCACCTATATACCAGTGAGTCCTATCTTGTGTTTTTCCCCTTGTTTTTGCAGCCTCTGCAACCCCATGTCAGAGTATGGGATTCAGTTAGTCTATCCACACTGCAGATTATTGGACTTGGAACTTTTGAGCGTGGAGTAGGGTGCCTGGATTTTTCAAAAGCTGTAAGTAATAATTTTTAAAGGAGTAAGCAAGCGGTACAAAGAAGCCAAAAAGAAGTTAAGCTCATTTTTGTGTCTGTGCGTTCATAGAAAGTGATAACTCTGAATTGAAATATGGGACATTAGCTATAGCCAGCATTTTAACCTAAATACTAAAGTACTTTGGTTTAGCTAGGATCCAGAATATTACACTTAGTTATACTTAATTTTTTTCTGTCCTAAAATAAAATTCCTGTGTAGTATTGGGAAATGTTGGAGGAATACATGGTTGGCATAGTAAAAGTAAAACAAGCAGTAAGTTGTGCTTTTGTTTAGCTTGGATAACAGAGCTCTATTTTATTTAGAAAATTCACAGACCTGAAACTTGCACAAATTGTTAGATACTGAATTTTAAACTCATGTTGTCATTAAACTCCCACGTATCTCCCCCTCCCCAACTGGCCTCTAGTTTAAAAATGTTGATTATGCACAAATACTGTCTTTTCTTAATGTAATGTTGGAGCAAAAAACAGAACTTTGTATTCACTAATATCATGAATTATCATGGCTCTGAATTAATGACAACATGAGTTTAAAATTCAGTATCTAACAATCTTACCTAAGCCTTGAAGCTTTATTCTGAGGAGAAATAAAACAGGATGTTACTAATTTAAACAATCTCTTCACTCTTAAATTATATGTAATTGTTCATTTCAACTTTCATATTAATTTTTTTTAATATATTTTATTGATTTTTTACAGAGAGGAAGGGAGAGGGATAGAGAGTTAGAAACATCGATGAGAGAGAAACATCGACCAGCTGCCTCTTGCACACCCCCTACTGGGGATGTGCCCGTAACCAAGGTACATGCCCTTGACCGGAATCGAACCTGGGACCTTGTAGTCCGCAGGCCGACGCTCTATCCACTGAGCCAAACCAGTTAGGGCTCATATTAATTTAAATGTAGGAGAGCTACATATTAATTTAAATGTAGGAGAGCTACATTTTAGGCTCCATCTTTTTTTTGTTTGTTTTACAGAGAGAGAGAAAAACATCAATGGGTTGCCTCTCATACTCACCTCGGCTAGGAATCAAACCCACAACCTAGATATGTGCCCTGACCAGGAATTGAACCTGCGACCTTTCGATGTATGGGATGACACTCCAGCCAGCTGAGCCACACTAACTAGAGCAGGATCCATAATTTTTGGTTTCAAATATAAATATCCCTCCATGTTTTATTGGGTCCCATTCATACTTTAGAATATATTCATGTATTCATATAATCTCTTCAGTTCCTAGGTATCAGCAGCTATATTCTGGATTATGGGAGTTTTGTGCGACATGAAGAGGAAGGGACATTTTTAGAACAAAAAGATAAATTTGGGTGGATATGGGAATTTTGCTACCTTGAAAGCACTGAGTGTCAAAGGTCAAATGAGTCAGGAATTGGGAGAAAGGCATTTAGAAAAGTAGATAAAAGGACAGGACAGAAAGGAAATACTTTTGCTACCTTTTTCCCTCACTTAAATTTCTGTAGCAGAAACTTTTGTCATCTTGTTGATATTGTTAAAATATTAAGACTATCTTGGATTGCCTCCTACTCTAACTTTTCCTGGTTTTGATAATCATTCTGGTACAGGTTAAAAGAAAGATAAAGAGAAGAGAATAAACTCTGACCTTTCTAAGTACCTCTCCTCTTCATCACAGTATTTCTTTGTTCCATAGACATTTAAAGTATATGCTGCAAATGCTAGTAGAGAAAAAAAATTTTTTTAACATATTTTTATTGACTTCAGAGAGGCAGGAAAGAGGGAGAGATAAAAACATCAATGATGAGAGTGAATCATTGACTGGCTGCCTCCTGCACACCCCCTACTGGGGACTGAGTCCAAAACCTGGGCATGAACCTTGACTGGGAATCGAACTGTGACCTTCTGGTTCATAGGTCAACGCTCAATCTCTGAGCCATACCAGCTGGGTGAAAAAATAATTTTTTTAATGTCCTCAGTTCTTTTTTCTTAAACTGGGAGACTTAAATTATGTGAATGAAAATCACGTTGGAAAAATAAATAGAAAGGAATTTAATTATGCTTTTATTTATTTTGTTTGTTCATATTAATGTATATCATGGAAAGTTGAAATTGGCAAACTTTAAAACAGGCCATTAATTTTAGCTTGTTTCATCTACTACAAAAACTTAGGAACAAAGTTATAAAATTATATACAGTTCATGCCTACCTCAAGGGACTATAATTTATTTTTTATTTTTTAAATATATTTTTATTGATTTCAGAGAGGAAGGGGGGGGAGAGAGAGAGAGAGAGAGAGAGAGAGAGAGAGAGAGAGAGAGAGAGAGAGAGAGAGAGAGAGAGAGAAACATCAGTGATGGGAAAGAATCATTGATCTTGATCGGCTGCCTCCTCATGCCCCCTACTGCAGGATCGAGCCTGCAGCCCAGGCATGTAACCTTGACCAGAATTGAACCTGGAACCCTTCAGTTCGCAAGCCCACGCTCTATCCACTGGCTAGGGACTATACTTTAAATACAAGAAGGCAAGAGGGGACTAGGGGACAATCCTCAAAATGAATTATTTGCTATCTCTGAATAAAAGTGGCTAGATGGCAAGTAGAAATCAACTTAGGGAAAAAAATTAAAACTGGAAAATATTTTTTAAAAGAATCTTTTATATTTCTGAAGAAAATCAGTTTTAGTAGTATATTCACTATATTTCAAGGAATTATACATTTAAAGGATTTTGGATTATCTTAATGTTGACTGTTTTAATAATATGGTACTTGTTCCTAGAAAGTCAGCCTTATCTGAAAAATTTTAAATGCCTGTAATTGACTTTTCTTTAGGATTCAGGTGTTCACTTATGTGTTATTGATGACTCCAATGAGCATATGCTTACTGTGTGGGATTGGCAGAAAAAGTCAAAAGGAGCAGAAATAAAGGTAAGTCCAAAAAAGTTTCAGTTATCTTTTAGAATACATTATTTGTTTTGCAGATCCTTGGAAGTATATTGTATATCCTTAATGTGCAGGAGCACACTAACTGGCCCTAATTATCAGCTTTATTAAGTTGTCATTTTATGCTATTAAGAATACCATTCTTATGGTATCTTAAGATAAAATATTCAAGCAACTTCAACCAATGTTAGTGATATTTCAAACACATTATGCTACTGAAATGACAAAGTAGATGGATGTTTAATCTCAAAATTAAGACAGTACTCTACTTGGCTACTGCTGCCTTTTTTTTTTTAAGATTTTTTTAATTGATATTTTGAGAGCAAGGCAGAGAGAGAAACATTGATGTGAGAGCAAAACATCAATGGCTGTCTCCTCTATGCCCCCTTCCAGGGATTAAACCTGAAACCCGTACATGTGCTCTGACCAGGAATTGAGCTGGCAACCTTTCAGTGCATGGGATGACACCCAACCAACTGAGCCACACCGTCTAGGGCAGGGGTGGGCAAACTTTTTGACTCGAGGGCCACAATGGGTTCTTAAACTGGACCGGAGGGCCGGAACAAAAGCATGGATGGAGTGTTTGTGTGAACTAATATAAATTCAAAGTAAACATCATTACATAAAAGGGTACGGTCTTTTTTTTTTTTTTAGTTTTATTCATTTCAAGCGGGTCGTAGTTTGCCCACAGCTGGTCTAGGGCGACTACTGCTGCTTTTTAAACAAAATCTATTATTTCATTTAAGCTTAAAAAATTTTAAAGGAAAAATTCAATCGTAGGAGTATGGGTGACATAACTGAAAAGCATATGTAATGATATGCATTGTTATAATCTTCTGTATATATAAAAGGCTAAGTGACTGACCATATGTCCGTCTGACTGTCCGACCGACTGGCCAGTACATATGATGCGCACTGGCACTCTCTCTATATATATAAAAAAGCCAAGCAACCTGAACGACCAGTCACCATGATGTGCACTGCGGCCAGCCAATCTGCCCAATGGGGTCAGGGCCAGCCGCCCAACCTCCCACATATCTCCCCCTCCCCAACTGGCCTCTAGATTTAAAAATGTTGACTCATGCATGCGCAATACATATAAAGCTCTGAAGTATTAACAGGATCTATGGAAGGAGAGGTTGTTCTGATTCCAAGAATTGATTTGTCCCCGTCTGACACTGGCCTCCCATTTAAATTAATTCAAAGACAGTTTCCCGTGATGCCAGCATTTGTGATGACTATTAATAAATCACAGGGGCACACTCTAGATGGAATAGGAATATTCCTACCTGAACAAGAAGTGCCTTCTTGTAATGTTTTTGGACATGGTCAATTATATGTTGTTTTCTCTTGAGTTCGAAGAGTATGTGATGTTAAAGTTGTAAATACTTTATCACAAGGAAAATTGGTCAAGCACTCTGAAAGTGCTTTTTCCTCCTAATGTGGTATACGGGGAGATATCAGAATAAGTTTAATCAATTTATCAGTCATTGTTTTTATCAATGTTGTTTTTATATCATGTTTTTGTTTTTATATCATGTTTTTGTTTTATATTTTTTGTTGTTGTTTTTATATGTTTTTTGCTGTTATTGTTTATTACTCTATATATTATTTTCATATACATGTTACTAATTTTTTTCATCTCTGACACTTCTATTATAGCAGTGGTTCTCAACCTTCCTAATGCCATGACCCTTTAATACAGTTCCTCATGTTGTGACCCCCCAATTTCATTGTTACAAATTGAACGTAATTAAAGCATAGTGATTAATCACAAAAACAATATGTAATTATGTGTTTTCCGATGGTCTTAGGCGACCCCTGTGAAAGGGTCGTTCAACCCCCAAAGGGGTCGCGACCCACAGGTTGAGAACCACTGTATTATAGAGAAAGGGCAAATAGCAATAATAAAATATGTCTTATAATTAATTTCCTTTCAATGTGCACGAATCCGTTCACCAGGCCACTCGTGTTACATAAAATGCAGCATCCTAGTATTTATAAAAAGCCAGGTGCCATCACAACTGGACGGACAACCAGACAGCTTGCTAGGGAGCTGAGGGAGTGGGAGCTGTGGGCCCTTGGCCGCCGGTAGTGCAGCGGCGGGAGGAGGGAGCTGTGGGACCAAAGGACCGGTCTGGCTCTCACGGCGTGCCGGGGTGGGGCCAGGGGCTGTGAGCATGGAGCTTCCCGGAGTGGCTGAGGCGGAGCATCCCGGGGCAGGGGCCGTGGACACGAGGTGGAGGAGCAGGGCAGGGGCTGTGAGCGTGGAGCTTCTCAGGGCGGTGAGGCGAAGGAGCCTTGCAGCGGGGGCTGAGGCCGAGGAGCCTCGTGGGGTGGGGGCTGTGAGCTGGAGCTTCAGGGCTGCTGAGGCAGAAGAGCATCGCAGGGCGTGGGCAGCAGTGAGGCCAAGGAGCCTTGCGGGGCGGAGACTGGTAGCGTTGAGCTCCCCCGGGTGGTGGAGGAGTGTCACCAAGGAGCCTTGCAGGGTGGGGGCTGTGAGCGTGGAGGTTTCTGGGGCAGGGGCCACAGAGGTGGAGGAGCAATGCTGGGCGGTGGACATGGCCCTGATTGCAGCTAGGCCTAGGGATCCTAACCTAACCGCGCACGATTTAATCGTGCGCTAGGCCTCTGGTATTTTATAATTGGTATAGAATAGTGTTGGTCCTTAGTGTGGATTGGTCGTAACTTGTAAAAGAGGAATGTAAGGTTAGCATTACAACAGCATTCACATGGGTCAGAAATGGCCTCCTCCTGACCGGCTTTCAGAAGGATTCAAAGTGACAGGATGACTAAAAAAAGCCTATGACATGTTTGCTGTACTCTTAAATAACATCACATTCCTCTTCAGTCGCACGCCCGCCCGCACTCTGTCTCGGCAGTTTTGTTCTGTATAAGCTTCAAGCTTTCAGCTTGGTCAAAAAGAGGTTATGTTTTCGAATAGCATAACTTTTTTATTGTACTTAAAAAGAGTATACGAAACCTCAAACTTTAAAAAATATAAATGAAGATACAGATAGTCTTTCAGCCATCATTCAGGGTAATTTAACATTGAAACATAGGGAAGTTATACCAAAGTGCAGTATGTGAATTTTGATCCTTTGTAGTAAAGGTTAGCAGATCTCCTTTCTAGGACTTTAAATGTTGTTGTTATTCAGAATTATATCTTATGTCCTCCATTGACAGCATGCAGCTGCCATAGCCTTAGTACTATCTGTTCTGTTCTCTATCATTTACCTATAGCCCAGATCTCTCACAGATCTAAACATATTTCTTGTTGCCTGCCAGGCATCTTTAATTGAATATCCTAACCCACAAGTCATAATGAACAGAACCAAATCTGTACTAATCATCTTCCTTAACTCCCAACCAGTTTCACCTTTCAGTGATTAACACCACATTCCACTTAGTTGCCAAAGATAGATATGACTCCTTTCCCTTGTTTCTCATGCCCAATCAGTCGGGGGGGGGGGGGGTGTTGTTTTTTTGTTTTAAATATATTTTTATAGATTTCAGAGAGAGGAAGAGAGAGGGAGAGATAGAAACATCAATGATGAGAGAGAATCCATTGATTGGCTGCCTCCTGCACGCCCCCTAATGGTGATCTAGCCCACAACCTGGGCATATGCCCTTGACCGGAATTGAACCTGGAACCCCTCAGTCCACAGGCCAATGCTCTATCCACTGAGCTAAACCAGCTAGGGCGGGTCTCGGGTTTGATTTCAGTTAAGGGCACGTACCTTGGTTGAAGGCTCGAAACCCAACCCTGATCGGGAGGCAACCAATTGATGTGTCTCTCTCACATCGATGTTTCTCTGTCTCTTCCCCTCCCTTCCACTCTCTAAAAATTAATAGAAAAATATCCTCATGTGAGGATTAACAACAACTAAAAGAAAAGAAATTAGGGAGACAGGCAGAGATCTTGGTCAGAATAAAGATTTAAAAATAAATTAATTAATTAAAATAAAAGGCAACATCATCCTGGAAGAAAGATGACGAATTTTTTCGTTGTTAATTAACACATTGTCTTTAAAATTTACTTTGACTTACTAATTCCAACCAAACATTGTGGAAACTATATAACAAAAAAGGGTACTATCCTTTTCCCTCCTAGGGGGAGAAAGCATTCAGATTAGATTGTTTGAGTTTTATTCATGTGCCTGTACAAGCTGTAGCGTCCAACTGTTGGTAGTAGAAATGTAAAATTGAAGCCATGGGGGAATTTTTTTTTAATTAGCTCAGTTGTTTCAAGTGTCATTTTATTAGTATAAGAATGTAAAAGATATTTTATTTAATTCACTTTGTTTACAAGATTACCATGTTTACCATATTGGTTTGCAGTGAAGAAATGCTTCCATACACATAAAACACACCTTAGTGATCACCCTTGTAGGTGAGCACCAGCTACCAACAAACAGCTGCACAAGCATATAGATTTCACCTCACCATTAAGTTTGAGTAGCTGCTTTTATCATAAAACATCAATTTAGTAAGAACTCAGTTATGACTGACTGAACATATTGAAAGGTAGGGTTTTTAAGACATCCTCAGTTCAGTAATTTCAGTGAAAAAACTACTTGTAATTCCTTTGGACGCTTGTGCCTATTCCTTTTTTCTCCTAGTTGTTTTAACACATTGTATGCGGGAAACGTATTCATACATTTTACGTTGACTGGTAGCGTTGACTGGTAGTAGAGCGCGGGACACGTATTAATACGTTTTTTATAGACTAGCGGTAGAATGCGGGTAACGTATAAATACGTAAACTAAAGTTATCGTAATTTTACTGAACGTTGCCATTTGCACAAAAAATTAGCAAAAATGGCCCGCGCCACCTGTTAGCACGTGATAAAAACTACCCGCAAACAATGTGTTAAACTTCTATCTTTTCTAAGTTTTCTTTTTGGGGAAATGGCATAAAAGCTCTTGGGGGGTTTTTGTTTTTCATTTCTGTATGACTCAGTAGTGCCCATTCTATATGCTTTTAGCCTAAGGGTGAATCTCTAAATCAGTAATAAATTTTCTTAAATGAATGAGTGGTTAATAATAATAGTAAAGAGAAAGATAAGACTTTTTAAAAATCAAAATGGCAGTATCTTGAAGACAAATGTATATTGTTCTTATATTTGATACTTTTAGTGTACTTTTCCCTAAATGTGTAAGAAGCTAAAATAATCTAAAACTAATTCATTTGAATGTCTTTCTAATGCAGTTATCTACACTAATAAAAGAGAAAAATGGTAATTGGCATACAGCGCTACCCTTTTCATTGGCTAATCAGGGCTATATGCAAATTAACTGCCAACTAAGAGTGGCAGTTAACTGCCAACAAGATGGCGGCTAATTTGCATATGTAGGCACAATGCAGGGAGGCGAAAGGGAAAGCAGGAAGAAGCCCCCTGCCACTGACAGTGATCGGAAACCCAGGGGGGAGCTAAGAGCTGGGGGGCAGGGCAAAGGCGGCCCCAGGGCCGCCTTTGCCCTGCCCCCCAGCCATGATCGGAGAATCAGGCGCCTTTGCCGCCCTGGCCAGTGATAGCAGGAAGTAGGGGTGGAGCCAGGGATGGGAGCTGGGCACGGTCGAAGCTGGCAGTCCTGGGAGCTAGGGGTCCCTTGCCTGGGCCTAAAGCGAAGCCCATGATCGCGGGGCTGCTGCAGCTGTGGGTCCCCGCTGCCCGGGCCGGACGCCTAAGCCAGAGGCGTTAGGCCTGGGCAGGGGCAGAGCCTGCAACCGCGGGGAGCTGGGGGTCCCCTGCCCAGGCCTGACACCTCTGCCGGAGGCCTCAGGCCTGGTCAAGGGGCCGATCCAGTGATTGGTGATCGGAGGGTGATGAGGGTCAACTCCTCTGGCCGAGGCATCAGGCCTGGGCGGGGGGCTGGGGGTCCCCTGCCCAGGCCTGATGCCTGGGCCAGAGGCATCAGGCCTGGGTGGGGGGCGGAGCCGGGGATTGGGGGGATATGATGGTCCCCTTGCCCAGCCCTGAAGCCTGGGTCAGAGGCGTCAGGCTTGGGCGGGGGGTGGAGCAAGCGATCAGAGGGAGATGGGGGTCCCCTGCCCAGGCATGATTCCTGGGCCAGAGGCCTCAGGCCTGGGCGGGGGCCAGAGCCAGTGATCGGGGGGAGATGGGGGTCCCCTGTCCAAGCCTGACACCTCTGGCGGAGGTGTCAGGCCTGGGCAAGGGGCCGATCAGGCGATCGGAGGGTGATGGGGGTCTACGCCTATGGCCGAGGCATCAGGCCTGGGCAAGGGGCAGAGCCAGCAATCGGAGGGGTCAGGGGGTCCCCTGCCCAGGCCTGATGCCTGGGCCAGAGGCATCAGGCCTGGGCTGGGGGCAGAACCAGTGATGGGGGAAATGAGGGCCCCCTGCCCAGGCCTGACGCCTCTATCAGGATGGGCAAGGGGCCGATCCTGCGATTGGAGGGTGATGGGGGTCAACGCCTGAGGGCTCCCAGTATGTGAGAGGGGGCAGGCTGGGCTGAGGGACACTCCCCCCCCCCCACACACACACACCCAGTACACGAATTTTGTGCACCGGGCCCCTAGTCTATATATATATAAAGATCCAGGGGCCGTCACATCCGAAACAACCGAACAGACGACCGAATAGGCTGAGTGGGGCAACCAGGCCGGCAGGGGGGTTAGTGAGGGACAACCAAATGACTGAACAGCATGTTGTTTGGGGCGACCAGGCCGGCAGAGGGGTTAGTGAGGAAAGACCAAATGACTGAACATCATGTTGTGTGGGGCGACCAAGCCAGCAGGGGGGTTAGTGAGGGACGACCAAATGACTGAACAGCATGTTGTGTGGGGCAACCAGGCCGGCAGCGGGGGGCTGTGAAGGGTGACCAAATGACCGAATAGCAGACTGCGTGGGGCAACCAGGCCAGCGGGGGCAGTTGGGGGCGACCAGCTGGCAAAGAGGGGCAGTTGGGGGTGACCAGGCTGGCGGGGGGGCAGTAAGGGGTGACCAGGCCGGCAGGAGCGGGGCAGTAAGGGGTGACCAGGCCAACAGGGGGCGCAGTAAGGGGCGACCAGGCCAACAGGGGGCACAGTAAGGGCCAATCATGCTGGTGGGGGGACAGGGGTGATCAGGTTGGCAGGCAGAGGCGGTTAGGGGTCCTGGATTGGAGAGGGTGCAGGCTGGGCTGAGTGCGCCCCCCCCACCCCCGCACAAATTTCGTGCGCCGGGCCTCTAGTTATATATAAATAATATAAAAAATGATATAAAAATATGAAGACACCAAATTTAAATCATTATTATAAAAATTTATTGTTACAAATGTTCAAGAAAATAGATCCTAAAATTTTTTCCTGTCTTTATCCATAGCTGTAATTGGTTCTTGATGGAGATAAGAGTATACATTCATCTAAAGCTTTATTTCTCTTTCCACAGACAACAAATGAAGTTGTTTTGGCTGTGGAGTTCCATCCAACAGATGCAAATACCATAATAACATGTGGTAAATCTCATATTTTTTTCTGGACCTGGAGTGGCAATTCACTAACAAGAAAACAGGGAATTTTTGGGGTAAGGACCAGAATATTATAAATTTCATTATAAAACTTTAATATTTAATTGTTGAGTGAGCATGGAGTCATCATGCCAAAGGGAAAACTGAAAATTCTCTCTCTTTTTTTTTTTGTAGAAATATGAAAAACCAAAATTTGTGCAGTGTTTAGCATTTTTGGGGAATGGAGATGTTCTTACTGGAGACTCAGGTGGAGTTATACTTATATGGAGCAAAACTACTGTAGAACCCACACCTGGGAAAGGGCCGAAAGGTACAGTATTCTCATATTGTCACTCCTTTTTAATTTGCACATATTGCTATTGCACTTTCATCTTTACCCAGACCAGGAAAGGCTGCAGTGAAACAGTAGGAGAACCACTACCATACCTTATGTTTTAAGGTTCTTCATAATCTTTTTAAAATTAAAATATTTACTAATTATTAAGCATATGTAACCTACATTTGATCCTCCTGAACATTTCCTTCTAGGAGGTTAATCTATAATAATAAAAGCATAATATGCTAATTAGACCAGGCATCCTTCCAGTTGACCTTCTGAACAAAGCCGAGGATGCGGCGAAGCCTGGGTCCTGGGTGCCAGAGGGAAGCCAGTGCCGGCAGCCAGAGGAAGGAAGGCCTACTGTTGCACAAATTTCGTGCATCGGGCCTCTAGTTAAGAAATAATTAGAGAGGTGATATAGATATGTTAATTTAAACAGTGTAAAATTAAGAGAGATCATTTGATCTGCTGAGTTTTTTGAAGACTTCACAGAAGAAGTGTTATTTAAGATTAAGCCATAATGAGTGCACAAGACTACAAAAGGTATGGAACTTTGATCTCTGTTGTGATCTGGGTTCACACATTTATTTCACTCCATACATGAAATCCTTCCCAGCCACACCTACAGAATTGTAACCCCAAATATAAAGGAAGAAACAAAATTCTCAGCAAGTTTGCCTGTAACAGTCACGTAAGCAGAGCACAATATAGACCATTTCATGTGCCTGGCAGTTTACAAGATTAGACTTCCCATTTCCTGTGTTTGCATGTGTAGATTTTCTTTGCACAAGTTTTTCAGACAAAAACCAAAATAAAAACAACCTCTGAACCTTTCCCTGCCTCTCCCACCTCAACATGCATTAAGCTAATGAAGAGTGGATACATTTACACCCAAACTCTGTTCAGTGCCAGAGGATAACCTGTCAGTAAGTCACAGTTGTGATATACAATGCTGTTCTGGGCATTTCAGATACGAACACATGTGCCCAGGAAAAGGAAAGAGAAAAAGCGGGAAAGGTAGAACTGTTTCAAAACACACACATTCCACATGTAAGTGAGATCATATATAGCATTTGTATTTCTCTGTCCTGTTTCATTTAACATCATGTTCTCAGGACTTTATATTGTTACAAATGGTAGGATTTCCTTCTTTTTTATTCCATTGTGTGTGTATGTATTTATGTGTGTAATATTTGTGTGTATATACATATACACTACATTTTCTTTATTCATTTCTCTGTCATTGGACACTTAGGTTGTTTCAGTATTTTTTCTTTCTTACAGGGTATGAAATAGTTCAATTTTTCTTATATGAAGTAATTCATAATTTTTAAGAGAGGGAGGGGAAGTTGATTGTATCCCCACCACCATTAAAATGTTCATAGTTCTTAAATCTAAGTTCCTTTTAGGAACTAAGTAACAAACCACCATATTTTGGTTTGTTTGTTAATCCTCACCCAAGGTTATTTTTTCCATTGATTTTTAGAGGGAATGGAATGGAGGGAGAGAGAGAGGAGAGAGAAGGAAGAGAGAAATCGAAATGAGAGAGACAGATCAATTGGTTGCCTCCCGCATGCGCCCCCACCGGGGCTGGGGATTGAAACCGCAACCCAGGTATGTGCCCTTGGCCGAGAATAGAACCCACAGCCCTTTGGTGTGTAGGCCAAGGCAGCACACCACCATTTTACCTGCTCCAAATAATTAATATGGGCCCATTTGTCCATTTGCTAAGAATATAACATAAATTTTAAAGTCTCTGACATTTGATTCTATAGTTAAACAGGCACGGGAAGCCCTCCAAACATCTTTATTTGGCAGTCAAGGTAAACTTGCTTTTTATGAAAGCTTTGTTCTGTAAGAGATTAGAGAAACAAGGGGATTTGCAGTTAAGCTTGGATAGATGTGGCAGTGATTACACCTGGAGGTACAATAGGTTTTTAAATTCAAGGATAATTATTTTTCTTGGCTAGTATTTCAAACATTATTTGGCTTGAATTAGAATGTCAAATATAGGCTCAATGAAGCATTTGTTCTTCAGTTTTATTTTCTATTTTGTAACATTCCATCATTCTAGGAATACCTTATATGTTTGACAAGGTTTTGTCATGTTCGAAGGTATGGAAAACTGAATTAAAAATAGAAAAACTAGCCCTAGCTGGTTTGGCACAGTGGATAGAGCGTCACCCTGCAGACTGAAGGGTCCCAGGTTTGATTCCAGTCAAGGGCACATGCCCGGGTTGCAGGCTCGATCCCCAGTGGTGGGGGGCATGCAGGAAGCAGCCGATCAATTTTTCTCTCTCATTGATGTTTCTAATTCTCCCTCTCCCTTCTTCTCTAAAATCAATAAATTATATATATATATATAAACTATTTCATTTTTATACGTTCTGATGGAGATCTATGAATCTCCACACCTCTGCTTTTCGTAATTTCTTTTATGGTACTTTAAGACTGCTCTTGTTAATTTAACCGTGCATGAGAAAATAACTCTCCACCCCACCCCCCTTTTAAATGCTCAAATAAAGCCAACAATACTCTCAGAAAATTCATATGCCTCACATGTCCTTTCTCTTTTGGTAATTGGCTAACTATTCTACTTGGACAAAATTATATTGTTCAGTGTTTAAAGTATTTTTAAGTGATGAATGTTGGTGTGAACTGACGCACTTGATCTTAATAATAAAGTTGTTGGAGTTCTGCTTTAATTCCACTAAATCAGGCAAGCTTTACTCCCAATCAGTCAAGTCCTTTCCTTTCTCTCTACCAGACATGCCCATCTGTTATTTGTACCACTAGCACCCTTACACTGAATAATTTTTAGAGTCAACTATAGCATTTCTTTCTTTCTTTTTTTCAGGATACCAAAGCCCTACAAATTTTAATTAATTTTTATTTATTTATTACTGATTTTAGGGTGGGAGCAGGAGAGAAACATTGATCAGTTGCTGGGATTGAACCAGCAACCCTTTGGTGCACAGGACAACACTCAACCAACTGAGCCACACTGGCCAGGGCTAGTTAATTTTAAAAATATAATGTCAGCTCAAATAGAAAAATGAATAAAAATAAACAATTCTCAATAACAGATTCATTGAGATATAACATATATACCATAAAATTCCCCCTTTTAAAATATACAATTCAGTGGTTTTTAATATACTCACAGAGTTGTGCAGTTATCACCACTGTTTAACTTTGGAACATTTTATTCTCCTCTCCCCCCCCCCCCCCCCCCCCCCCCCCCCCCCCCCACCCCCCCCCCCCCCCCCCCCCCCCCCACCCCCCCCGCCCCCAGCCTCTAACAACCATTTGTCTACTTTTGCTCTCTGGATTTACCTGTTTTGGGACATTTCATATCAGTGGAATAATACATTATATGCCCTTTTGTGTTTAGCTTCTTTCACTTCAACCTTAATGTTTTCACAGTTCATCCATGTTGTGGCATGTGTCAGTACTTAATCCCTTTTTATGGCTGAATAATATTCCATGATGTGGACATGCCACGTTTTGTTTATCCATTCATTGGTTGATGAATGATTTTAGAAAATGAGCATTTCCCTAGTTTTATTGATATATAATTGACATATACCATTGTATAAGTTTAAGGTATACCAAATAATGATTTGACCACAAGTTTAGTTAGCATCCATCACCTCACATAGTTAAAATTTTTTCTCCTGATGAGAACTTTTATGATCTGCTTTCTCTGCAACTTTCAAGTATACAATACAGTATTGTTTACTGTGGTCATTAAATTCCCAGACCTTATTTACCTTATAACTGGAAGTACGTATCTTTTGTCCACCTTCACTAATTTCCCCCACTGAACAATTTTTAAACTTGTAACTTCTTTACTTTTCTAAAGGATCTAAGGTCTATTTATTGACTTAACTTTGGCCAAATTTAAACAAGGCTCTACCTTCCCATTTTGAGCCTGGTAACCAATTCTGCAAAATAATTGTCTTCCAAAAAGCTTAACCTCTTGCTCTACCAGCCTCACTAGCCAGATAAAGAGCTTCTCTGAATAAGGTCTGATAAATACCAAAGGAAAAGGTTTGGGTACTAAAATCTTATCCTCACCTTTAAAAAAGAGAGTCTGATGATTGTGTGTGTGCTCATGTGTGTATGTATGTATGTATGTAATCCCCTTTTATGTACCTGCCTTGTCCCTCGCTGGCTATTTGTAAAATTCTGTGAGCATACAAGAAAGCTGGCCTGTCATTCAACTATCACATTGATACAGCTTTAATTTAAAATACTTCTCTGGTTGGTCAAAACCCACTACTCCAGGCCTCTAGTGCCCACATCTGCCCAGTGCCTTTCCCAGTCTCCATATCTCAGCAAATAAAGGGGGTAGTCCTTGCCAGAGCTGGTAGGTCAACAGTCATTGCTAAATGTTAAATACTGTTACCTCAGCAGGAAATTAAAGCTTTTTGCAAACTTAAGGGTACATTGAGTGAAGAGCCTTGAGCCCTATTCACAGCTTTGTCACTAGCTAACTATGTGGTATTGGTTAAGCCATTTCTACACCTGTGTGTCCTCAACTCTAAAATCAGAAAAGTGATACTATGCTAACTACCATAATAAGATGATTATAAGAGATTGTAAAGTTCTGAGTATCCCCTGTTGTCTATAGAATTGTCACTACTCTACCCTTTTGTAAGAACGTGTTTTGAAATATTTTCAAAGTAACAATATTGACATAAATACAAAAGGTTGTATTAAGCTACACTACCAGCCTTGCATAACTTGCTGAAAATAGGTGTTTGATTGTTGAGTTGTAGGCACTTTTGAGTAATCACTCTATACCAGTGGTTCTCAACCTGTGGGTCGCGACCCCTTTGGCAGTCAAACGACCCTTTCACAGGGGTTGCCTAAGACCATCCTGCATATCAGATACTGACATTACGATTCATAACAGTAGCAACATTACAGTTATGAAGTAGCAACAAAAATAATTTTATGGCCAAACCGGTTTCGCTCAGTGTATAGAGCGTCGGCCTGCGGACTGAGAGGTCCCAGGTTCGATTCTGGTCAAGGGCATGTGCCTGAGTTGCGGGCTCATCCCCAGTAGGAGATGTGCTGGAGGCGGCTGATCGATGTTTCTCTCTCATCGATGTTTCTAGCTCTCTGTCTCTCTCCCTTCCTCTCTGTGCAAAATCAATAAAATATATTTTAAAAAAATAAAATGAAATAATTTTATGGTTGGGTCACAACATGAGGAACTGTATTTAAAGGGCCAGAAAGAAGGTTGAGAACCACTGTTTTATACAAATGGTCCCCAGCTTACTGTGGTTTGACTTACAGTTTTTCAACGTGACTGTGGTGCAAACGTGATGTGCACTTTGGTAGAAACCAACTAGGCTAAGCTATGATGTTTGGTGGATCAGGTGTATTAAGTGCATTTTCGCCATACAATGGGTTTATCATGATGTAATCCCATCTTAAGTCATAAAGCATCTATTTTCTCCCAGAAAGCCACTAAAGTTTGAGGGGAAATGTTATCACTAGTGTTTTTATTTTTTCCTAATCTTATTAGGTGTTTATCAGATCAGCAAGCAAATCAAAGCTCATGATGGCAGTGTATTTACACTTTGTCAGATGAGAAATGGGATGTTATTAACCGGAGGAGGAAAAGACAGAAAAATAATTCTGTGGGATCATGATTTGAATCCCGAAAGAGAAATTGAGGTAAGGATGGGAACATAAAAATTATAATGTTAAACCCTCTAAACTAATGTCTTCTGTCCCACTTTAAGATAACTTATACTTTCTGGGAAGTTGGTGCATATCCTTGTCATTTCATTTCCTCAGAATGAAAAGAAAAAAGAAACCAATCATTAAACAAAATAATTTGAAAGCATTTAAAAAAAAAAAAGATTGGGCAGAATAATTAACTTACTTGTTTATTTCTAAGGCTTTTTATGCAAAATGACTAATTTAATTTTAATACTGAAAATAATCATTTCAACAGTGAGCTTAATGATAGTAGATAATTATCTATGCTTCTTTCTTCTTCATGGTGTGGACCCAGGTGTATTTATAAAACCTGACAGGTATTATGTGTACTGTGAAAGGTATTAAATGCTAATTGAATTGAGGTCTCAGATGGTAGAACAGTTAAGAATTGTATTTTAGATCAATAATTCTCAAAGCAAGGGCAAATTTCTTGCTTTGATATTGACTCTTTTTGAGTGACTTAAATTTTGAACTTATGCTCATTGTATTCTAAACATGTTTTCCAGACAAAATCTCTAAAAAGAGGATCCTGATAGTACTGCTCTTGGGTTTTATCTTCAAGAAGATAGATAAGAAAGAATTGCTTTATCTCAGCCTTAAATTCATGCTGTTTCTTTTCTTCACAGATAACTCATACCCTCTGTAGTCAAGCTATACCATCTAGTTTATCCTCCTTTTGCCATTTCTAATGTAAATTTGGATTACTTTTAGAATTCAGTTCTTTGTGCTTTCAGGAATAATTTTGGGGTCATACTTCATAAAGAAGGAGTCATTCTTTGGTTTAAATGAGATTGATCTACCAAGGAGTCCTATTAATGAGTTATAACACTACTTATTATATTAACTAGTAGCCCGGTGCACAAAATTCGTGCGGGTGGGGGGGAGGCTTGTCCCTCAGCCTGGCCTGTACCCTCTCCAATCTGGGATCCCTCTCACAATCCAGGACCGTTGACTCCTAACCAGCTCACGTGCCTGCCTGATTGCCCCTAACCACTCTGCCTGCCAGCCTGCTCGCCCCCAACTGCCCCCACCCTGCTGGCCTGCTCGCCCCCCACTACCCCCCCCCACTGGCCTGCTCGCCCCCAACTGCCCCCCCTGCTGGCCTGATTGCCCCCAACTGCCCCCCTGCCGGCCTGATCACCCTAAACTGCCCTCCCTTCCTGGCCTGATTGCCCCTAACCGCCTCTGCCTCAGCCCCACCACCATGCCTTTGTCCAGAAGGACGTCCGGAAGGTCTCCCAGTCTAATTAGCATAATACCCTTTTATTAGTATAGATACTAGAGGTCCAGTGCACGAAATTCGTGCACGGGGCGGGGCGGGGTCCCTCAGCCCAACCTGTGCCCTCTTGCAGTCCGGGACCCCTCGCCCCTTACTAAGCCTTCCTGCTCACTGCTCCTTCCTTAGCACTGTGTGGAGGTGGGAGAGGCTTCCGCCACCACTGCTGTGTTCGCCAGATGTGAGCCTGGCTTCTGGCAGAGTGGCACTCCTGCCTTGAGTGTCTGCCCCCTGGTAGTCAGTGCGCATCCAGCGACTGGTTGTTCTGGTCCTTCTGCTGTAACAGTCACTTAGGCTTTTAGTATCTAGATAACATTCACTGAGAGTTTCCCATGTAATGGATTAAATGAGATTGATCTACCAAGGAGTCCTATTAAAGAGTTATAACACTTTATAATATACTGCTTTTTAGTTTACAGGGTAAGTAGCGTCTGTATTATTATTATTATTATTATTCCCATATTATATATAAAGAAACTTGTCTTAGGCCAAATGACTTGACCAAAATAGCATAACTATTAAGTAACAAAACCAGACCTTCCTCTCCTCCTAAGCCTTAACTCTTAAAATCATGTAAAATATATATTTAAAATGTACTGAAACAAAGAATGTCAATAATAATAATACATTATAACTTCTGTGTAATAAAATGAATTGAATAAATAAATTATCATTAGCATAAGATTACCATATTACTTTCAAATTTGGAATTTTGTCACTCATTACCCCATAATTGTTTTTAGCTATTAGTGCTGTTTTTGGGTTGTAATTAATGCATGTTAGTATGTGCATGGTGACATTACAGTGTGGGTTGTGTTTTTTTTTAGGTTCCTGATCAGTATGGAACAATCAGAGCTGTTGCAGAAGGAAAGGCAGATCAATTTTTAGTAGGCACATCACGAAATTTTATTTTACGGGGAACATTTAATGATGGCTTCCAAATAGAAGTCCAGGTAACTGTAATTTTAACCATTAACTGAATGTTTTTATGATATTTTGTTTCTTTTAACATAATAATAGGTGTATTTTATTTCAGGGTCATACAGATGAACTTTGGGGTCTTGCCACACATCCCTTCAAAGATTTGCTCTTGACGTGTGCTCAGGACAGACAGGTGTGCATGTGGAACTCAATGGAACACAGGCTGGAATGGACCAGACTCGTAGATGTGAGTAAAACAAAATTGGATTATAATCTCCCCACACAAATGCCCCAGACTAGCATTTGGAAGCAGCAAAAGTGAAAGAACTCAGCATTGGTTAAAACGAAGTGTTTAGTAAAGGGAAGAGTGTTTAGTCAAAAATATTCCATGAACCCACTCTGAAGAAGCAAATTAGCAGGGCAAAAGCTCAATTTTTCCATCAGTTTCCATAGTAAAAAGATTTCACCATGTACATGGAGCACTGTTCAGACATGTCTGGGTCTCTGGTGGTGGTGCAGTTGGATTCAGCAAGTGCTGCTCACTAACAGACTGTCTTCTTTTTGAATTGGTCTCTTACTGTATTTTCTCCCAACCCCACTGAGATACCCATCTTGTCTAGCCCAAAAGGTGTATACATTTTCTTTGCAGACTCTAAAGAACTATACAAATGTTTGTTGTTATTCTATTATTATTCCACTGCCTAGCCACAAGCTGGTTGTCCTTTCTCCTCACCACTCTGCCAGCGTACCCCTTCCTGCTCTGAAATTCTTTTTTCCTCTCATATCCACATAGCTAAAAGGATGTTGATTGGAATTCGATGTTTGTATGAAACAAGTTATTTTCAAATAGTTTTTGCTACTGTTCCTATAGATCTAGTGAGTCTTTCTCATGTACTCCCCAACAGCTTTCTGTCTTTCTTCTAGGAACCAGGACACTGTGCAGATTTTCATCCAAGTGGCACAGTGGTGGCCATAGGAACGCACTCAGGCAGGTAGGGTCTTTAAGGGAATGTGAGCTGAGTGATTTGAAGTGGTGGAATGTTTAACCATTGTTAGGAATGTTGTCAATATGATCTAAAGATTTATTTTTAGGTGGCACACTAATATGCATGTTGCTCTTATCTGTTACATATACTCTTTCAATCATTAGTAATTATTTACTGAGCACCTGCTCTTGGTTAGACACTGTTGTGGGGATTTAACATCAGAGTGCAAAACAAAACAAAAATCCCTGCCCTGTGCAGCCCGCATTACAGTACATGTCAGGGACAGTGAGCCTGGCAGATGGCTGGGTAAAGAATTTAATTTAGTTTTGATGCAGAATCACAGCAACAGAACACTAGACCTGGAGATGCTTAAGCAATCCAGCTGAACCTTCCAATTTTGATGGTGAATGTACCTTGGCAAGCCAGCAATATAGCTAAAGTACTGTTATCAAAATTCAGCCAGATACTGTTGACGATAGAGGTTCTAGGCATAAATGCTCCTCAAAAGGGAGATGTTCAAGTGATATTAGCGCTAGCTGAGACTTTCTTCTTTGACATAATTAAAAGAGAAGATTTCTAATTAGAAAAGAACAGCTTTTTCCCTCTGCAATTTGGTGTTACTTAACATGGTCCTTGGGTATTCCTGCGCTCATTTCCCAGGTGACAGTGTCTTTGAACTCTATCAGCATGAATCTCCCTGAGTTCTGCCTTGTTACACCACCAGTTCTGAGTCACTCTTCCAATGCTTATTGAACTCCTACAACTGTAAGGCACTGATCTCGGTGCATGGAGTGGCACAGAGGAATATGAGACATGGTCCCTTTCCCCAAGTAGATTATGTATGTCCATAAGAAAATAAAGAGCTTTTATTAGGTTTAGCATTACTTGAATAAACAGGCAGCAGTGCTTGGAGTTCAACAGAGAAATTACTGTGAGCCTGAGTTGTCAGAGAACACTTCACAGAGGAGGTGAGATTGGTCCTGCCTTGGAGGAGTCCTTGGATCTTGAAGAGGCAGTGAAGAGTGAGGAGTCATATCAGGCAGGAGGAAATAGATGGAGCAAATTCAGGTCAAGAACGTTTCTAAAGGCTTTTTGATACCTAAACTTGTTAGCTTGGCCTGTAAAGCCCACTAATGCTTGTTTTTAAGTTTACATTTATTGTTGAAAGTATTACAGAGGTCTCCTCCTCCACACACATACATCCCAGGCCTTCACCACAGGATTGTCTGTGTCTACAAGCTCTTTGGTTAATCTCTTCCTGCCCCCCTCTACTCACTCCACCTCCCCCCCTACCGCCCACCCCCCCGAAGAATAGAATGGTCAAGTTGTTGTCCTGTCCAACCCCTTTGTGCTTCTCTCTCTTTTTTTTAATCCTCACCCAAGGATATTTTTCCATTGAATTTTAGAGAGAGTGGAAGACAGAGGGAAAGACAGAAACAGTGATGTGAGAGAAGCACATCGATTGGTTGCCTCCTGCACAAGCCCAGGGACTGGGCCGGGGAGGATCCTGCAACTGAAGTACATGCCCTTGACCAGAATTGAACCCAGGACCCTTAGGTCTGCAGGCACACTCTATCCATTGGACCAAAACTTTTCTATCTACTCCTCTCTACCTGTTTATGTCCCACCTATCCGTGCCACATTTGATGAGATGAAATCCCAGGTCACCTACATCCTCCCTGCCTGAAATTTCATAATCCTTGTATATTTCATTTTACTTTATTAACTCACTCTCCCCAGTCTGATTATAAACTCCTGTTTTGCGTCCTTTCCCGACTCTTTTCTTCTCTGAATCCCTAAATGTTAGCGCATCACAGGCAGAGAGAGATCAGACCCTTCCCTGTTGTGAGACAGTGAAAAGCACAGGCCAGAGCTCTATCCTGGTTCTGCCACTAACTACTTGGTTGATGACTGGTTGAGGGTTTTGGCATCATAGGATTTCATTGTTCTTATTTGTAAAATAAGAAAGTTGAAATGGGCTACTCTTTTCCTGTTTTTGACTTTATACATTTTTCTGATTATAAAAGCCACATTCCTATTCTTGCATTAGATCACAAACAAGGACCTAATGGATCTTTCTAAATGTATTCGAGATGAGAAATCTTTGGTTATATATTTAAACTGATCTGACATGTGAGTCAAATACCAAAATGTAGTACCATCATTTATCTTAGGGGCAATATAGAGCCCCATAATGATTCCAGATTACCTTAAAGCGGAAGGAAGCTTGGTTACAATTTATATACTCTAGACTAGAATAAGAATAAATTCAACACAGTGAAAACTTAAATATTTATTTCTATAAAATTCCCATTGGTAGAGAATGTGTTATGTTCTCCATACCTTTATTAGGGACAGAGATCCTGAGTCCAAAAAATCTTTCTGAAGATAGAACATAATTCATGCCGTGAAAAGAGTGGGAGCTTTAAAATTATTTCTTGGGGTCCATATGGAAGTTGTTTATTTTCAATAACAAAGTTGTTGAATTATTACTAAAAATTGCTTAACAAAAGTAGAATTAGTCTCTTATATGTGACTGAAGAAATAGAAAAAGGAGGCAGAGGTCTCTTTTGTTTTTTTTTAAATAACTACCATCTCTAGTAAATGACTCAGAGTTTTTGTTTCCTACATGTTATACCAATAAGACATTCTGGTGTTTTTTGTTTTGTTTTTTTAATCCTCACCCGAGGATATTTTTCTATTGATTTCCAGAGAGTGTGGAAGGGAAGGAAGGAGGGGGGAGAGAAACATTGATGTAAGAGAGACATATTGATTGGTTGCCTCCCGAACACATCCAGACTGGAGCCAAGGAATGAACCTGCAACCCAGGTACATGCTCTTGACCAGGAATCAAACCTTCAGTGTGCGGGCGACACTGTAACCATTGAGCAACACTGGCCAGGGCTCTGGGGTGGTTTTTTAAATATAACTTTTTGAGGGGTTTCCAAAACGATAAAATTGTTTGCAGTGTTCCTAGTAAAATTAAACTAATTTGGAAACAGTATCAGTTGGGGCTTCTCCAAAATAAAAATGGATAATTTTTGAATGCCTAAGAAGTTATGGTAAAGTTTACATAAATTCGTTAAAAACTGGAAACCTGACACCTGCAGAGTGGAGCTGTATCTCATTGTTCTTTAGGTATGTCTGTTTAATCTGAGTTGGAATATTTTGTTCCCTTACTGTGAGAGGGCAATTCACTTGGCATCAGCTTTGGCACTTCTTGGCTTAGAGGAGCATCACAGTGGAAGCCATAAAAGTTGATTAATGAAATACATTCTCAGAAGAAACCTTTAATCTATGGGAACTGTCCAATTGCAATAAAGTGTGTTTCTTACATACCTTTGAAATTGAAATGACCAGTAAACTTGTAGCATAGGCTTCAAATGCCAGTTTCCTACTTTTAAACTCCAGTATTCACAAATAGAAGCTATTTCTGTTACCTGGATAGAAGACAGAATTTGTGAATTAAGTTAGCTACCTGGAAGTTTCAACCTATGGCTCACAAGTTACTAAAATTCATTCATGAACATGTTTAGAGAGCAATTTTATAGGTAAACTAGAGGCCTGGTGCACGGGTTCGTACACCAGTGGGGTCCCTCAGCCTGGCCTGCGGGGATCGGGCTGAAACCAGCTCTCTGACATCTCCCAAGGGGTACCGGATTGCAAGAGGGTGCAGGCCAGGCCAAGGGACCCCACCAGTGCATGGTTGGAGCCAGGGAGGGACCACAGGAGGGCTCCAGGGCGTGTCCAGCCCATCTCGCCCAATCCCAATCTTGGCGGACCCCAGCAGCAAGGTAACCTACCAGTCGGAGCATCTGCCCTTGGTGGTCAGTGTGTGTTGTAGCAACTGGTCAAACAGTTGAATGAACAGTCGGACACTTAGCATATTAGGCTTTATCATATACTAGTATATTATGTAGAATAGTTGGGATCTTTTCGTCTTTCATCTCCTACCTTGAATTCATTAAGGCATATGAAACAGCATCACTAAACTTGGGTTTTTTAAATTCTTTAAAGCACTATCCTCTCATAAATAGTATTTATTTTAATCTGAAAGATAAATGATCTCTTTCCAGATATTAGTTATATAATTAGTTTCAAAATTGAAAGGAACTGTCATTCTGATTTCTGTTACTGGCTTATTTTAGTGATAGAATTTTCCCATCTGAATAATTTAAAACAAAACTTGCTGCTTTTGTCCCATCCTATTACATGAGATTTAGATAGTAATTTTATTTTTCTAGTATTGTCCCATTTTCTCCACCCTAACCATTTCTTCCTGCACACTGCACTACTACTAAGTAATTCTTGCTAAAATATAGGTTTTATCATGTTCAAGACATTTTATATTAGTTCATTATTCATTTTACAAATATTTTTAATGCCTGATCTGAGCTAGGCAATGCTCAATTTTGAACTCCAACCAGCTCTACATACTGTCTATAACAGTGATGGCGAACCTATGACACACGTGTCAGAGGTGACACGCGAACTCATTTTTTTGGTTGATTTTTCTTTGTTAAATGGCATTTAAATATATAAAATAAATATCAAAAATATGTCTTTGTTTTATTATGGTTGCAAATATCAAAAAATTTCTATATGTGACACGGCACCAGAGTTAAGTTAGGTTTTTCAAAATGCTGACATGCCGAGCTCAAAAGGTTCGCCATCACTGGTCTATAACCTGCCTTCTCTCACTTATCCAGCCTTTGGTTGTCTATCCTTAGTTCCCAGCCTTTTCTTATAGCTCATATCTTGCCATACTCTTCTGAAACACCATTTCTTCCTTTAGTGCTTTTAGATAAGTCATTTATGATGTAGTTGGATTTAAGTCATTGTTTTACTTCTCAAGAGGCTTTTACATTTTTACTTTTCCTATAAATGTGAATGAAAAACTATCAAATTTAGTTTCTCTGTGCATATGTTAAGGTATTGGAGAGGCAGAGTGCCCCCTGCTGGTTCCTTTGAAATCACACCAAATGAATGGCTGGCTGCCTTTCCCTCCCACCTTCACACTGTGCATGCTCCCTCCCACCTCCATAGCTGTGCAGCTTTCACTCCTCCTGCCTGAACTGCTGTACTTCTTTCCCTAAGGGTTCAGCTCAACCCATATCCTACATCCTATCCTCCTGCTACCATTCATTTTCCTTATGAGAGTTCCTCTACTAGACGTTCATAGTCAGCATCACTAAGATTGACACTTGATTGTTTTGTTTTAATTGGCTCATTTCCTTTTCCCCACTTCTAGTATAATCTTCAGAAACACTGATCCTGTCATCTTATTCTATTTAGACTAATTAGCAAAGAAATGCTGTGGGCATTCAGTGAATACCTAAATAGAAATGAACATGCCTAGGCCCATATAAGTATATTTATATTGTATCTAGCAACATTTTGCAAAATGAACTCATCCTTCATTGGAAGAGGGAAACATGTCATACTTAAGAGTAATATTAAAATTTCTTAATTTTTAAAAAGGGAGAAATGATCAGCAACCATTTTTTCTATAAATGCTAATATCTGAAGGTTTTTTATTTTTACTTCTTAATAGGTGGTTTGTTCTGGATGCAGAAACCAGAGATCTAGTTTCTATCCATACAGATGGGAATGAACAGCTCTCTGTGATGCGCTACTCAGTAGGTGAGTAGATTTACCCCCACCCTGGCATTCACAGCATTTCTCTATATCTGCTTTTTTCACTTTCAATGAAGCTGATTACTATATTCTCTGTCTAGAGTTGTAAAGTATTGAATATGTTTTCCCCAGAGTTTCCAATTAAACTCTGCTGCGAGAAACTGCAAAAAATCTGCTAAAGTTATACAACATTCTAAATCAAGGAAACAAATTTATAATGAATTGTTAGACTGCATTCACAGTTGAAAGCAGAAAATAGTGCAATTACCCCATCCCACCCCCACCCCGACACATACACACTTTCTGTTTTGGCACTAAACATACAATGTGCTTAGAATTTTGAATAGGTACTAGGTTGAATGTTACATCTATTTAGCAACCTTTTCTTTGTATATAAGAGAATATAAAAGCAATTATAGAATATTAAAAATATACAAATTTTATAGGCCCTTCAAGTTCTTTAAAATCTAGTGGCATTATTCTGGATTACATAGTAATGATTGTTTTATTAATTATATGAAACTAGAGGCCTGGTGCACGAAATTCATGCACTCGGGGGCGGGGGGGAGTGTGCCTCAGCCTGGCCTGTGCCCTCTCACAGTCTGGGAGCCCTCAGGGGATGTCCAACTGCTGGCTTAGGCCCGCTCCTCCTGTCCTTAGCGCTTCTGCAGAGGTGGGAAAGGCTCCTGCCACTGCCACTGCGCTCGCCAGCTGTGAACCCAGCTTCTGGCTGAGCGGTGCTCCCCCTGTGGGATCGGGCCGAAACTGGCTGTCCTACATCCCCTAAGGGTTCCCGGATTGTGAGAGGGTGTAGGCCAGGCTGAGAGGCCCTACCAGTGCACTATCAGGGCGGGGGGGAAACATGAGAGGTTGGCCAGCTGGGGAGGGACCGCAGGAGGGCTCCAGGGCATGTCTGGCCTGTCTCACTCAGTCCCAACCGGCTGGACCCCAGCAACAAGCTAACCTACGGGTCAGAGCATCTATCCCTGGTGGTCAGTGCATGTCATAGTGACTGGTTGACTGTTTGCCCCCTGGTGGTTAGTGCATGTCATAGCGAGCAATTGAGCATCCTTAGCATATCATTAGCATATTACGCATTGATTGGTTTTGAACGGCCAACCGGTTGACTGGACATTTAGCATGTTAGGCTTTTATTATATAGGATACTCAGCAACCCAAGAATTTGATAAGTTTGTTTAGCCTTGTTTGAATTAATCTTTATACTTTATTTAAAATGTTAAGTTTCCATAGTATTCCAATTTCCTTTTCCTCTTATTATTATGATTTTGATTCATAACTTTCTTTCCTGGAGTTAGAGTGACATTCACATATATTCAAAAATATATTCCCATAGTTGTTGGATTAGTGTGGGGTTCAGATGATCTTTTGATTGCTTCTTAGTTTTCTAAGTTGTTTTATAGGAAGCACTGAATACTATTCTCTTGAGAAAGGAAGGAAAAGTATTTGCTTCTATCTATAAGCCTGACAAGAGTAGAAGCAGAAAAAGTTTTGGATTGGCTTTTTTCAATATTGTAGTAACAAGTAACTACTGCAAATGTAGCAGTTAATATACATGAACCAGTTGGACTTTATTGACCATCTGTTACATCAGTGGTTCTCAACCTTCCTAATGCTGCGACCCTTTAATACAGTTCCTCATGTTGTGGTGACCCCCAATTTCATTGTTACAAATTGAACATAATTAAAGCATAGTGATTCATCACAAAAACAATATGTAATTATATATGTGTTTTCCCATGGTCTTAGGTGACCCCTGTGAAAGGGTCGTTCGACCCCTGTGAAGGGGTCGTGGCCCACAGGTTGAGAACCGCTGTGCTACATAGTAAGTACAATAGAAGAGACCATAGAGAAGAGAACATAGCTCCTTCCCAGGAGAACCAACCCTATATTTGGAGAGGTCCTATGTGCTCAGCTGAAGTGAGCAATTATATGCTCAGCTTGCCATATGAATACTGTGATTTAGACCCGTAAAAGCTGGTTAACCTCCACGGGGCCAGATTGTAGTTATATCAGTGTAGCTATTTCTCTAGTCAACACTCTTTCTTGCTTCATTCTAGATGGCACCCGCCTGGCTGTAGGATCTCATGACAACTTTATTTACCTCTATATAGTCTCAGAAAATGGAAGGAAATATAGCAGACATGGAAAGTGCACTGTAAGTAGAGAAGTAAGATAAATTGTGAGACTGTTGGAAATTTTTACTTTTGTTAAAAAGAATTAAATGTTTACACTGATGTACCTGTTGTTTTCTGCCCTTTAAACTTTAATCTCCATCTTTGAAAACTGAATTTACCTGACAGCAGAATATTGCAGTTCCCTGTGTACTATAGAAAGCTTTCTCCTTTGTTTAAAATTAAATCTTTATTGATGAAACTATTACGTGTCCCTCTTTTCCCCCCATTGACCCCTCTAGCCTGTCCTCATCCCCCGCCCAAGGCCTTCACCACCCTTTTGTCTGTGTCCATGGGTTATGCATATATGCGTACGAGTTCTTTGGTTGATCTCTTCCCATCCACCACCACCTTTCCTCAGAGACTCCACAGTTTGTTCCATGCTCCTATGTCTCTGGATCTATTTTGTTCATCAGTTTATTTTGTTCATACGATTCTACATATGAGTGAGATCATGTGATATTTGTCTTTCTCTGACTGGCTTATTTCACTTAGCATAATGCTCTCCAGGCCCCTCCTTGCTGTCTCAAAGAGTAAGAGATCCTTTTTTACTGCTGCATAGTATTCCATGGTGTAAATGTACCACAACTTTTTTATCCACTCGTCTACTAATGGACACTTGGTCTCTTTCCAGATCTTAGGCATTATAAATTGCGCTATGAATATAGGGGTGCTTACATTCTTTCTGATTGGTGTTTCAGATCTCTTAGAATATATTCCTAGAAGTGGGGTCACTGGGTCATATGACAGTTCCGTATTTAATTTTTTTAGGAAAGTCCATACTGTTTTCTATAATGGCTGCACCAGTCTGCATTCCCACCAGCAGTGTACTAGGGTTCCCTTTTCTTCACATCCTTGTCAACACTTGTTATTTGTTGATTTATTGATGGTAGCCATTCTGACAGGTGTGAGGTGATACCTCATTGTCATTTTAATTTGCACATCTGTGATGTCAGTGACTTTGAGTATTTTTTCGTATGATTCTTGGACATCTGTATGTCTGCTTTGGAGAAGTGTCTATTTAGGTCCTTTGCCCATTTTTTAATTAGATTGTTTTGTCTTCCTTTGTTAAGTTCCTTATATATTTTGGATATTACCCCTTTATCAGATGTATCATTGTCAAATATGTTCTCCCATACAGTGGGCTTCCTTTTTATTTTGTTGGTTTCTTTTGCTGTACAGAAGCTTTTTATTTTGATATAGTCCCATTTGTTTATTTTCTTGTTAGTTTGCTTTGCCCTGTGAGATGTATCTGTAAACATACTGCTATGAGAGATGTCTAAGAGTTTGCTACCTGTGGTTTCTTCTAGGATTTTTATGGTTTCATGACTACTTACTAAGTCTTTTATCCATTTTGAGTTTATTCTTGTGTATGGTGTAAGTTAGTGGTCTAGTTTCATTTTTTTGCAAGTATCTGTCCAATTATCCCAACACCATTTATTGAAGAGATTGTCTTGAGTCCATTGTATACTCTTGCCTCCTTTGTCAAATATTAATTTGAGTGTAATGGCTTGGGTTGATTTCTGCGGTCTCTGTTCTGTTCCATTGAATTATATGTCTGTTCTTGTGCCATTACCAGGCTGTTTGGATTACAGTGGCTTTGTAGTATAACTTGATATCTGGTATTGTAATTCCTCCAACTTTATTCTTTCTCAGGATTGGTGCAATTATTCAGGGTCTTTTCTGGTTCTATATTTGGAGTATATGTTCTAGATCTATGAAATATGCCTTTGGTATTTTAATAGGGATTGCATTGAATCTGTAGATTGCTTTGGGTTGTATGGGCATTTTAATGATGTAATTCTACCAATCCATGAACATAGTATATTCTCCCACTTGTTTATGTCTTCCTCTATCTCTTTTTTTCAATGTCCTATAGTTTTCCAAGTACAAGGAGGTAAAACTCCTTGGTTAACTTTATTCACTAAGTATCTTAATTTTTTTGTTACAATGGTAAATGAGATTGTTTCGTTTCTCTTTCTGACAATTCATTATTGGTGTATAAAAATGCCATCGATATCTGGGTGTTAGTTTTGTATCCTGCTACATTGCCGAATTCTTTTATTAAATCTTGTAGTTTTTGTTGGAATCTTTAGGGTTTTCTGTGTACAATATCATGTCATTTGTGAATACTGAGAGTTTTACTTCCTCCTTTCCAATTTGGATACCTATTATTTCTCCTTTTGTCTGATCTCTGTGGATAGGACTTCTAGTACTGTGTTGAATAACAGTGGTGAAAGCGGACATCCCTATCTTGTTCCTGTTCTTAGGGGAAATGGTTTTAGTTTTTGCCCATTACGTATGATGTTGGCTGTAGGTTTGTCATATATGGCCTTTATTATGTTGAGATATGCTCCCTCTATTCCCACTTTGCTGAGAGTTTTTATCAAAAATGGGTGTTGTGTTTTGTCGAATGCTTTTTTTGCATCTATTGATATCATGATTTTTGTCTTTCAGTTTGTGATGTGTCCGTTTATTGATCTGTGAATATTGAACCAGCCTTGCATCCCTGGAATAAATTCCACTTGGTCATGGTGTATGATCTTTTTAATATATTGCTGGATCTGATTTGCTAATATTTTGTTGAGGATTTTAGCTTCTATGTTCATTGGGAATATTGGCTTGTAGTGCCTTTATTTGGTTTTAGAATTAGGATAATGCTGGCCTCATAAAAAGTGTTTGGAAGTGTTCCTTCCTCTTGAATTTTTTGGAATAGTTTGAGGAGGATAGGGGTTAGTTGTTCTTTGAAGGTTTGGTAAAACTCCCCTATGAAGCCATCCAGACCAGGGCTTTTGTTTGCTCGGAGTTGTTTTATTATTATTATTATTATTATTATTACTACTACATGTTTTCTGATTCTTCCCTGATTCAGTTTTGGGAAATTTTTGTGGGGTGTTTTTAGGAATTTGTCCATTTCATCTACATTGTCTAGCTTGTTGACATATAGTTGTTCATAATATTTTCTTTTACAACCCTTTGCATTTCTGTGGTGTCAGTTGTTACTTCACCACTTTCATTTTTGATTTTTTTTATTTGGGTTCTCTCTGTTTCTTGATGAGTCTGGCTAACAGTTCATCTATCTTGTTTATCTTTTCAAAGAACCAGCTCTTGGTTTCATGGATTTTTTTTTTAGCCACTATCTCATTTATTTCTGCTCTGATCCTTATTGTTTCCTTCCTTTTACTTTGTGCTTTTCTTGTTCTCTTTCTAATTATTTAAGTTGTAGGGTTAAAATAGTTTATTAATAATTTTTCTTGTTTTTTTGAGGTAGGCCTGTAGTGCTATGAACTTCCCTCTCCGGACTGTTTTCACTGTGCCCCAGCTTTCTCCTTTTGATGGGAGTTTAATACTTGTTTGTCTCGGACTAATTTTAAGGTGGTTTCTTAAAACTTTTTATCAGAAACCCTTAGAATAACACATTTTGAAAATGGAATGAGTCAGAAATGAAACAGTCACTCACTTTTAACCCAAATGTCCCATGTTCCTGCCCACCTTGGCATCCTGTATCACCTCTCTGCCGCTAAAATAATTTATATAAATATTTGTCTGCATTAAGAAAATTAACATTTTCTTTAATTTGTTGCCATTTCAGATTGACAAGTTTATCACTTTACAATGAAGATTAGATTCAATTCTTTAAATATACTGAGTACTTACCTTATGGCAGGTACTCTGCTAATGAGATAAATGTTCTAGGCACTGGGAATATATGAAAGATTTGTTCCTTGTCTTAAAAAAGGACATTTGAGCTGAGGACACGACGAGAAAGGCAGCTAGTATTCAGTCTTCTCACCTATAAGATGAGGATAATAGTTTCTGCTTCACTGGTTAAAACTTGTTAATCCATATAAAATACTTAGAATAGTGCTTGGCACATATATGTTGCTATATGTTAACTATTATTTTTATAGAAAATGAGGTAGCTTGATATGTATGATGTCAGGAGATTAATTTAGGATTAGCAAATCACTTGAATTAGCGATTATTGGCACAGATACTTTAGCAGCCTTTATCACAAAATAGTTTCAGGGTAATAAAAGAATTCATTTTTCTTTTCTTAATAAGCAAAACCTAGGCCATTTACTTTTTGAAGAAGAAACATTTATATTTTTGTATATTTTGTATCATGTGCTAAAAATCAACCTATAATCTGGTCTATAAGCAACCTCAAAGTTTTAGACTTCATCCAAAATATTTTTGTTTGCCTTGACAGCAATTATGAATCATTTATTAATTTATTTAAATCTATCTTTTAGTCTATTTTTATTTATATACTAGGGGATCGGTGCACGAAATGCGTGCACGGGGGCGGGAGGGGGGTCCCTCAGCCTGACCTGCACCCTCTCCAATCCAGGAGCCCTCAGGGGATGTCCTACTGATGGCTTAGGCCCGCTCCCTGTGGTTCTCTGCTGTCTGCGGGGCCTGCTTGGCCGCTCCTGGATCGCCACAGGCAACGGCCAAGCGGGCCCTGCTCTCAGCAGCCACCCTTGGGACTGGAGGACTCCAGCAGGGCTGAGAGGACTGGCGCTGCCATCTTGTGGCTATGGGCGCCACTGGCTTTGTGTCAGAGTGACAGTTAATTTGCATATTACTCTTTTATTAGATAGGATTTTTTTTTTAAATTGATTTCAGAGAGGGAGAGAGACATAGAAACATAAGAGAATCATTGATTGGCTGCCTCCTGCATGCCCCACACTGGGGATCAAGCCTGCAAACAGGGCATATGCTCTGACTGGGAATCCAACTGTGACCTCCTGGTTCATAGGCCAACCACTGAGCCAAGCCAGCCAGGCTCAACTTATTACTTTAATATTTGTGATATAGGGTAATATAATAACACTTCATTAGGCAACATGATTAAATAAAATGTTCCACTGAAAGAAATTTTCAGATTACCAAAGTTTACCTTAATTAATTTTTACCTCAGCCTTTTTATAAAGTCCATGTCTTTAATAGACTGTATCAAGTATAATTTAATATTGTG